AATAGTGCGTTTCAAAAACAAGAAATAGATTAAAATTTTAAAATCAGCTATCCAAAAACCAACCATGCTTGATAAATAGCAGACAATAAAAAACAAAAAAACCTAAACTTTCAAGAACCACTATTTAAAAAATGCAATGCAAAAAGTTGAATTTATTTTAGATCAGCCAAAACCCAATTAGCTAGCATCAGTTTTGATGTTTTTAAGCAAGTAAAACATTCAAATCACTGAGTCCAATAGTTATTAAATATTTTGCTTTTTATAATTTTTAAAACTGGTAAGATCAATACCCAAAATTAAACTAAATTAAACCAAATAACTCAAAAATATTATTAGCAGAAACAGTTTATTTAATTACATTTATGCTGAAAAACAATCAAGTTTTAAAAAACGTAATGCAGTGAGAACAAATGATATATTTGTGCAGGGCGCTAAAGGAATAGTGCGTTGAAACTTTCCATATTCATTCGCCAAAAGTGGCCACTTGAGAGATTTGAAAAAGAAGCAAACAAGTTCTGTTTGCGGCGACTAATCCTTTTTCAAACCAAATCAGCAAAATTGTAAAATTGAGACGGCAATTCAGCTCTGGATGTAGTTCAAGTGGGTGTTGTAAGTGTGCCTGTTGTTAGCTGTTTTAACCAAACCAGTGTAGAATAATTAAACTAAAACAATAAAAAAAGAAAATGAACACAAACCGATGAGTAATTTTTAAAGGATTTGCGTTGAATTGTGCACAAACCTGAGATTGAGTCTAAACAGTCTAATGTGTCTTGCGGGTGTTGTGGAGAAAGTTTGTTTGACTGAAATAACAGCTGTTTGGAAAAGTATTTAGATAAACAGACCAATTTATTAAAAACTGATTTACCAAATAGTTGTCAGAAAATGTATTTGCATGACAGTAAAGACTTATCCAAGCGACAACCACATAAAGTGTAATATTGACTGGCACTTTCCGACTACAGAAATGGTGATAATGATGATAATAAAAACTAAACCGCCGAAAAAAAGTTTGCAATGCTGGAGAAGGCTGAAAAGTGGTCAGCCAAATGAACAGCAGTATAAGCTTCCTCCAATGTCATCACCGCTGCTGCTGTTGCTGGTGTTGGTGCTGCTGCTATTGAAAGTGCTGCTGCAATTACCACTTGCACTGCTTCCATTATCAATTCCCAGTTTGCTGTAGTAGTAGAGAAAGTGGTAGTACATGCCCACTCCATCGGCGACCTCCTTTGCCGCCTGTTCGCCGTACAGTGTCGCCGTGTAGAGGACGTGCAGGGGGTGCACTGCTGACAGGGCCACCACGTACAGCAGGTACCAGGAGAGGCCTTTGAAGGCAAGGGCGACGGCCAGCTGAAGCGCAGATCGCAGCAGAGCTCCAGCACGCCCCTTATTATTATCAACAGCGGCGGCGTCTTGGTAGTTGGCGATGTTGTCCACGCCCGCTTCATGTCCATTAGGAGGAGCAGTTTCCGCCTGCAAACCCTGCAAAGCACGGGCCCTAGCTCGTCTAGTTCGACGGGTTCGTCGACGATGGTGAGCTCGTTGGCTGCGATCACTGTCATCATCATCCTCGAGGAAGCTGTTTGGAAGGTAGAAGGCCAAACTGTAGCGGTTACTAGTACTTACTAGTTCTTCAAACCCCTTTCCCCAGTTTTTTTCTTCATCTCCTTTGTCAGTCTCGTCAATGTGCGCCAACTCAAGGGGCGGCGGGTAGTGCAGTCCGCCTGGGTTGTGGGCAAATCGAAGCGCAGAGTTGTGTCCTTGTTGACGTCCTAGTCCTCGTCCTCGTCCTCGTGCTAGTCGCCGTTGTCGTCGTTGTACCAGTTGCCACTGCTGCTCTGCTGGAACTGAAACAGGAACACCAACTTCTGCCACCTTTTCATTGATAGACTCCTTGTTGTTGCTGTCGTCGTCGTTAATAATGACGTTGACTGCATCAGCTCTCATCATTTGTTTGTTTTCATTGTGCTGATTGACAGCAGCATCAAGCAAGTTGTTGTTGTTGTTGTGGTTGCCCGCATCATTAACAACGACATTCTCCGGAACATCTTCATCCCAGAGATGAAAAAGGCGCTGAATGACACCACGCATCACCTGTTCCAGTTGCTCCTCAAAAACGCCGCCGCCTTCTTCTTCTTCTTGGGCCGGATTAAGATTATTATTTCTTCCGACGATGTTCTCAGCAGGGTTACCAACACCTCCGCCGCCGCCCCCTCTGGCCACTTCCAGTCCCTCCCAACCGTCAAAGTACATTGGACAAAAGAAGGCAACGGCAAGAAAACGAGGCAGCGCTCGGAGAAAAAGCTTCCCGAGCATCTTTTAGTGTCAGTAAAGCCAGACACTTGCGATTTGCGCTTACTTGCGCAAGTAAAAAAGTGTGATGGGAACTTGTGCTGCTGTTGCTGCAGCCGTCAAAAAGGAATGATGATCAAGTTAAAAAAGTAAATTGGAAAAGTTGAAAACGATAAGTTGGAAAAAACGGGCAAATGGCACCCGACAATATTCACGATATTTCCACTTGGCCGCCCGACAGCGAATGATGATTCGATTCGATTTGATGATGATGATGCTGAGAATGAATTGCAGCAGCAGCAGCAACAGCGACCGAAAAAGAGAGGGGGCTTGACTTTGGACCACGTTTGGAAGCGTTTGACAGATGTTGAACGGTGGTAGTGGTGGTGGTCGAAAAAAGAAAAGTGAAACAGAACAGAAGACGAAGAGGGAAGGAGGAGAAGAAGAAAAGAGGGGCAGCAACGATTGTACAGCTACTGTGCTTTTCTACAGCGAGCGCAACAGCAGCAGCAGCAGCAGCAACGCCAGACGGCACGGTCAGCAGAACTGCTGTACAACACTGAAACCCGCGCACATTTTTAAAAAGAAAGCAAAGGGAACTTGCACAATGGTAAGGTATTATAGAGCGAAAAAAGCGTTGACGGCTTATCACACTGCACAACTGTACAGCAGCAGCAGAGCGGAGACTGTGTTTGAACTGAATTACCGCGCTATTGCACCACTTCTACTTCTATCAACAGCTGCTAAATACCGTTGCCGATGCTGCTGCTGATGGTGGACGCAAACAGTAGCTGTAATAGGAGTCAGAAGAAGAGCTTTGCCGTGAGTAATCTCTCGTGTTGTCGTCTGTCGGCCGTTGTGTTGTGTTGTGTCGTGTTAATTGATGCTGTTGTGTATATTTGAAAAACAACAAATGCCTGTCTGTGTTTGCATTTTTCTTTCTTTCTCTCGCTCTCTCGCTTTCTTTTCATTTTTTCTGGTTGCCGAAACCAAGTGGCGTTCATGGCGCCAAAGTCCTTTACCAGAGAGCAAAACACAACTAGGTAAAAGTTTTTCTAGTGGTGGTGATGCAGGAAGAATTCCTGCTAATGACGATGATGATGATGGCAATGATCAGGTCTGTACTTCACTCATTAAGTGCTTTGGTTAACTAGCATGGAATTTAACGGTAAAGTGGAAAAGTGAACTATTGCAAACGAGTGAAACCTTGTTCAGTGAGGTTGTTTGGAAAAAAGGTCAAGTATCCATTTACTCATTTAGTGATGGTAGAATGTTTTCTAATGGGTGTTCATAGTCAAACAATATGAACTAGTGACAAAAAATTGGCATTTTGTGATTGAAACTGTTGATTTTTTTACACAACAGTTACCGTCAAAAATGCCATCTTTTTGCTTGATAATGTTGTTGATAATGTTTTTAAAAAAGTAAATTTCATTTGTTTTGTGATTTTTAATTAACAAATTTCATGCATAAAAACAACTCATTATTTGATATTTAAAACAAATTAAATTTAAATAAAAAATCAAACAATAGATTAAATAAATAAACAAACAAGATATAAATAAAATGGAAAAATAACTTACTTTTTATATAATGTTTGATTACACTAGTTGTTATTTTTTTAATTTAAAGTTGCATTAAAACGTAAGCAAATATCAAATCAATTTTAACAAACAAAAATAAATTTTAAAAACTACGTTTTATTTATGATAAATTGTTTAAGTTTTTTTTCTAAACAGGTGAAATAGTACTCATTCAATCTCACAAACGTAAAAAAGTTTTAAACTAAAAATTTTTAAAAACTGAGCTTTTATAGTTGATTTTTTGTCAATTCAGCTATATACAGTTTCTAAACTTAATGCTTTACTACTAAAGGGTTAAAGTTCAATTCAATTAAGTGGACTATTTATCAACTGACCAAACTAACCAGATTGATAGTGGTGAAAAACCAGTATAAAACCAGTTTTTTCAACTAGTGATTAGTTAAAATCTATTTGATTTTTTAAACAATTTCAAAATTTTAAATTTTTTTTATTGAAAACATTTTCGGTGTTGCAAATAAGAAATAAATCTGACTTAAAATGTCAGTAACTAGTAAACGGATTCTCAGCAAACAGCGTAGAGTTATTTGTAACTTAATTAAAGCAGTTGATCTGACTAAATTGTCGGCAAGAGCTAAATATGACATTTTAAGTACATTTCGGTTTTGTGGTCAAAATATTAAAATTAAAAGTTTTCAGTTTGTTTAAAATAATTACCGCTCTGTTTGCTGTTTCAGTTAGTCAATATTAAATTACCCGCCACCAGGTGAAACTAGAGAATCAAATGAACAAAATGAAAAAACACAAAATGCTAAACGGCACACAATTGTAAACTTGCTCTGAAAAAGTAAAACACAAAACAATTTTACTCACATGCACAAACATAGAGTTGAACTTTAATTCATTTCAATGTAAAGTACTTTCAAAGTATAAATTGAAGCCAAACGATAGAAAGGATAATCATAATAATTGAGCGAAGAAAAGTGCTTAGTTGTTGCAAGAACAGCAGCAACAGGAAAAAAATGCAGAGAAATAAAAAGAATTGAAGAGAAAAGATACAGAAAAGTGAAAGGAGATAATAAAGAATAAAGGGAAGAGACATTTGCTGGCTTGCTTGCTTGCTTTGCAGACTGAAGACCGAGCTTGCTGGCTCTAGTCTCGCTTGCTGACCTTGCTTCCACTTCCGCCGCTCGTTTTACCCGTTCCGCCGGTGCTGTCAATGTGGCGGAGGAAGTACCAGCTGATGGAGCGGTAGGCCCAGTTGGGCACAAAGAGGCCGGTGAAGTACTGCTGCAGGTCGTGGAACCAGTAGCCGCAGGTGTGCGTCGAGCGGCCAGCCGTGGCGAGGGCGTTCGCGGTGAAGGTGGCCGCGTCGGGGAACTGAAGGGAGGGCCGCTGCAGCATCTCACTGAAGCCGGTCATCTTCGTGGCGATGTAGTTGGGCACCAGCGTCTGCACGTCAATGCCCGCCTGCCGGTACTCCATCTCCAGCGTCTCGGAGAACCACTCGACGAAGACCTGAAAATAAAAAAAGCAGTTAGTTAAGCTCCAGTTTTGAATGCCCAAACACTCCACTTACCTTGCTCGCCGAGTACAGGCCCATCAGCGGCAACGGCTGGTAGGCGGCAATGGAGCTGAGGTTGACCAGGAGGCCCCGCTTGCGGCGGACCATGGCGGGCAGCACCAGTCGGGTCATCATCACCACGGCGAGCATGTTCACCCGTACGTGCGCCCACAGCTTTGCCTCGGGCTGGTCGAGGAAACGGTTGGGCGAGTCGTACATCACCCCGGCGTTGTTCACCAGAATGCCCACCTCGCGGCCGTCCAGCTCCCGGGCCAGGCGCCCGTACAGCGTCGGGTCGTCGGAGTTGAGGTCGGCGAGGAGGGGCACCACCTCGAGGGCGGGGTGGCGGCGGGTGAGCTCCTCGCGGACGGCGGCCAGCTTCTCGGCGCTGCGCCCGAGAATGAGCAGGTTCAGGCCGCGACCAGCTAGCTGGCGGGCGTACTCCAGGCCGACGCCGTCGGTGGCGCCGGTGACCAGCGCCCAGGCGCCGTACTTGGAGCGAAAGTCGAGACGGACCAGGCGCGACCAGAGATGGGTTCGCAGGCCGATCAACGTGGAGGCGAGCAGGCGGTAGGCGAAGCGGCCGGTGGCGAGGAAGCCGATCAGCGTAAAGGTGTCCACCAGCAGGCGCAGACGAGGGTCCATGTCGCGGACCAGCTGAAAGAGGTAGCCCATGGTGGAGTAGTAGATGTAGAGGGTGCTGTGGCGAACTCGAGGCGGCGATGGACGACTGTACGAGCTGATGGCCGGGCTGAAAGTGCCGATGGTCGTCGGTGAAGTCATCCTCGAGAATGAGATTGAGTGCTAGTGGTGGTGGTGGTGGCAGTGGACAGTGCTGAGAGAGAGAGAGAGAGAGAGAGAGAGAGAGAAAGGAAGGAGACGGACGACGACGGACAAGTTTGGCAGGAGGAAAAGAGGGAGAGAAAGAGCGCGCGGGGAGAAAAAAGAAGAACTGGTCGGCGGCACTTGTTGCTGCTGCTGCTGCTGCTGCTGCTGTCAGTCAGTCAGTCAGTTTGCAGAAGAAGAAAAGAAGGAGGAAAAAGAAGAAGAAGTGAATGTTGATAGTGGTGGTGAGCAACAGCAGCAGTCAAAGAAAAAGAAGAAGAAGAAGCAGGATGCTTACATTGGAGATGATCGAATGGAGATGATCAAAGTATGGAGGGGAAGAAGAGAAGGGCAGCCGCTGACAAAAATAGAGCTATTGTCGGCGATGGACAATGACAATAGAAAAATTATGGCTGCTGATGGTGGCGGTGATGATGATGACGGTGATCGATTGATGATGAAAAAAACGAAGAGGAGGAGATGTGAAGAGGTGACAAGAGGTGAAGAGATGCCGGTCGCTCGGTGCAAAGAGGGAAGAAAAGGTGCAAGTGGTGGTGCTAGCACTGACTGACTGACTGAAGTTGACTGACTGACGAACGGTGGCTGACTGAACTGCACACTGCTGCTGCTGTGGCTGCTTTATTGACTGAGGCGGCAGTGGCTGCAGCAGCTAAGGCGATATTGGCGCCGGTGGTGGCGACAGCAGCAGCGACAGCAACAGCACAGCTAGTCACCGGTCAAGTGGAACAGTGACGCCGATGGAAAGAGAGAGGCAGAGTGATACTCACTGGTCAAAGTTTTTTAGCTGCTGAAGTTACAGTGCCAGTGACAAAAACTACCCGATGACTAGCTAGCAGGCCAGTCCTGGTCAACAGCAGCAGCAGTTGCCATTTGCAGTGATCCAAGTTTATACATCTTAAGTGAACTTTACGTTTTATTACTCATTTTTTCTTTTTGGCATCTTTTTCATTGATGCCACCTTGTGTGCTTTCTTGTGCAGCAGCAGCATTTACCGTTGTCAATCAGCGTCAGATTTTGACTGTTGCTGCTGCTGCTGATGGTAATTCACGACTGACCAATCAGTCAGTCAGCTTCATTTCTGTTCTTTTGCATTTTATCCACTTGCCACACACACTGACTAAGTGGGGTAATTTTGCTGCCAGGGAAAACAAGGACAGTGTAGTGGAGTTTTAGACAGAGACAGACAACAACATTGACAACAATTTGGGGAGTAGGAAAGGGATGAAAAACGTTGACTGGTTTTCTAAATAATTTTTGGTTTTACACTTGTTCTATTGTTGCTGAGCAAGAAAAAGAGAGAAGGAGTTTCTAACAGTAAGAGAGTATTAAGCTTGTGCGTTATTTTCTGATGTTTTTTCACTTTTCTTCTCAGTCACTCTTTTTCTCTCTTTTTTTCATTGCAATGCACCACTGGTCACTGGTTGCTTTTGCTACCAGTTTTCTTCTTCTTCTTTTTCAAACAGGTCCATTAGTGTTTTTAGCAACAGAAGCAGCCGCAGCACAAGCTCAGTGCATTGTCTTGCTTGACCAAACGCGGGCGCTCGCCTGCAAAAGCTAGCTCTCTTAATGTTTGCCACTTGTTCCCCACTGCTGCTGTCCCTCTGCTACTTTTGTTGGCACAACACACACACACTTGGCAAATGACTGACGACTGCAAGCTTTGATTTGAAGCTGAAAACTAAATCAGGCAAACTGGCTCAACTAGTGACTGGACTAACTGGAAAAGACGATCTTTTGAGCTGCAGTTTTTTGCTGTCTAAAATCACAGTCACTAACAGATGACTGACTGCTCAAAACGGTGAACTTGAAATAGACAAGGTGGCATTTTGCTGAGGGTGGTGAACTGCAGAAGCTTTACCTGAGTCAAATTGAAACATTCTATTTCAGTTTCCCAGCTGTGCGTTAAAGTAGAGNTTTGCTGAGGGTGGTGAACTGCAGAAGCTTTACCTGAGTCAAATTGAAACATTCTATTTCAGTTTCCCAGCTGTGCGTTAAAGTAGAGCAATTGACATTATTAGAAACATGGCTAGAAATATTGAAGTTAGAGGACTACAGCCAACAGTGCCAAAGATGGAAAAGATAGAAAATAACCCAACAACTAGCAAATATTGCTATTGTTTTAAGACAGTCAAGTTACAAATTAAAACTGAGCAAGAGGAATTTTTATAGTTAGTTGCAAAATTGCTGTTTAAATTGCTTTAAAAGTTATTTGAAATATCTTAAACTTTTGTTTGAAAGAAAAAATAAGTGTGACAATTAACGCTTTTATTTGATTACTTTCAAAACGCTGAATAATACGCTGTATTACGTTCTTTACGATCAGGGCCTTTGTGTTGTAATTTGTTGACACGCTGTTTTTTGCTGCTAATTTTTTTTGTTTACCAGTACATTGTAAACAATCATTTTTATAAAAACAAATGTGATGATTTCTATTTGAAACTGTAAAATAAAAAAAATGAATGTATATGTGATAATATATTGAAAAAATAAAACTACAATTTGTTTTGAATATTTTGAAAAATTTAATTCAAATGTTCCGTTTTGATCACACCGACAGTCAGATGTGATATCTCATAACGCCAAAACATTTGCATTGTTTTGCTATCATGGAGCACGATGTTAATAAAGTGCCTTATTCTGGTTTTGATCATGATTGTGGTGCTGACAACGATCAAGGTCACAATGATCAAAATGGTGGTGCTGATCACACTGGGCCTATTAAAAGAAGTGGCCCCGGTGCAAAACAAACACCAAACAGTCAACAACAACCGCTCCTGTTGCCGCCGCCGCCATTTCCTATGCCATTTTTAAATGACTTTAAAAAGCAGTTTTCATTTTTAAATCCAGAATTCGGACCACTCAACAGTGGTCCGTTTCAAAGATCATCAGCAGAAAGCTTTTTCCATCTACGACCACCACTACCACCTCCGATGATGCCGCCACATATGATGATGATGAAGCAGAATAGATCTAGAGCACTACCAGCTGGTCCACTACCTCCACCACCTCCACTACCGCCATTCGCTCAACAGGCAAACACTGAATTTAAAACAAATACTCAGCATACACTGCAGCAACAGCAACAACAGCATCCAAAAGGCCCCAATGCTAGCAGTACCCTAAATTGCAATCAAATGCTGATGCGCTACCCAATCTGGCGGTCGATGTCCGCCTATGCGCCCACTCCCTCCACGCCGCCCTTCAACGAGTGCCTCATCACCATTCCCAAGGGCTACACCCGGGGAGTTGGTCATACTGGTGGTGGTGGTGGTGGCCAGTGGAAGTGGTGGTCGGAGACGATTCCTGGCTACAACCGTTCCAAAATGCGCTCCCGTCGGCAGCGTGTCCGCTGTCATCCGCCGTACACCGTGGTGCCCAGTCGCCTCTACGACACTGCCATGTACCGGCGACTGTACGCCGGTCTCCCCAATCCCTATCACCTTGAGTTGATCAGTGGCGAGCAGATGGAAGGCACAAATAAACGGACAAATGCACATTCAATTGCTAAAAATGAACTTACTGAACAACGACAACAACAAAAACAAGAAACAGTTGTATCTGACAAAGACAGTGAACGGACAGTCGGCAAGGCAGAACAAGAGATTTTAGCTGAAACATTAAAAGAAGATGAAATTGAGAGCATTCTACTTAAACATGATGATGAAAGTTTGTGTAAAGAAAATGATGAGAAAAACGGTGAAGATGGGCTGACAAGTGAAGCTGATTTTAAAAAAGAGCTGAAACGTTTGGAGAAACTATACAATGATGAGGTGAAATCAGGCGGTGTTGCGAATGTTGAAAATGTTGTTGTACCTGTTGAAAACTCGTCAAAAACAAACGAAACTGATCATCAAAATCCCGGCAAACTAAACTCACTGTACGACATTGACTTTAGCAGCGCTCAACTCGGCGTCAACCACTTAACTATCAGGGAGCAGCCAGAGATGATCAACTTTATGTTTCAGCAGCAACAACAGCAGCAGAAACCTCTTTCGTATTCTGGTTTTTGGCAGTTTTTCAACAATATGATGACTCACAATGATAATAAAGTGGAGGTAAAATGCGGAGAAAAACATCACAGAAATGACAAACCAAAGATGTCTGAAACAGCAGTCAATGATAAACAAAACAAAAACGCCACAGTTGAAAGTAAAACACACGCTCAAACAGACCAAAACAACATCAGAGAGTCGATCAGCTTTAAGCAGTTTTGTGAACAGTTCTGTCAGGAACGTCTTCAGCAAAGCCGTCGAACCAAAAAG